TACATACATACCATTACATCATACATACATACATACAACATACATACATACATTACATACATACATAATTCATACATACATACATACATTACATACATACATACATAACATACGATACATCACATACATACATTACAACATACTACTACGATACATTACATAATAATACAATACATACATTACATACATACCATTATCATAGCATTACTACATAATATCATGACTACGATAACATAGGCATAGCCATATCATACAGGTTAATTACATACATACATAACATAAATATCATACATACAGGAGCAACATACATACATACATCATAATACTATACCATACCATAATACAGTACATAAAACTACATAAATTATCTACCTCTTATTATCGAAATTACTATGACTACCGTTATTACTATCGAAATTACTACCGTTATGACTATCGAAATTACTAGGCCTACCGTTTACAACGATGAAGTAGGCCTACTATAGTAGCGCCTGTCGACTCGGATAATACACACGCGAGCTTTGCCATAGATTCGCTTGAGATTGTCAATAGCAAGCAATTATGACTTGCTTGCGATTATCTCGCGCTTGAGATTCTCACTTCTTGCAACTGCGCGATAAAGTTTTTATGGCCATCTACTCATCGGAGGAAACGAGTGGTGTGCGCGTATATGCATATGCGGTTTGTTCGGACAAGAAAGAGAGTTTAATTGCATTATCGCTGGCAAAACTCATGCACGGTTTGATATTTACGACTACCAATAATAAGGTCTACTGGCTGGGAAGTTTCCTAACAAATCTAAGTCCCAATTATTGCGGCCATGCAAGACGTCACTATGATGATGCATATATACAAACACCGATTAAACTATAATGTTATAGCCTTTCGCTCACAGGTCCCTGTGGTTAAAGACGCCCGCGGCGGGGCGAAGGGCTATAATAGTAGAGCTACAATTACGCCTACACGCTTTCATTTAGTATTTACCAAACGCACGATAAGCATCTATCTCTACTATTTTTGATTATTGTTAATAAATTATAAACTTAAACTAGGTTCATCAGGCGATAAGGAATCACAGCAAACGTATATAAAACTGTTTAATCCTACATTGGTCGCCATGCAATCTTGCGTCGACCACCTAAGAGAAAAATTACTAGGAGAAAAATTACTAGGAGAGAAATTACTAGGAGAAAAATTTAGTGTAAAGTTCTACGCAAAGCAGCGTTAGTAAATTTAGTTCAGCAATCGGAACACGTGAAAATTACCTTACATTACAAAACACATTAACTAAGCATACTTCTAACGATGGTGCTCTGGAAATTGGCACATCAGGAATCCATCAACGGAAGAATAGTGCGAGGGTTGAATGGGACGCCGATAGAAACTATAGAGATCAAGAGGATGTAAGCATCACGATAAGAACTGAATGACCATATCATTTACTCGTGATTAGATGTATTCCCAGGAGACGAGTGGTGCACAACTATAGCGTTTACCTTCCTCCGTCCAATCGTCATCTGCGAGTGCTGGGTTAGCCTGCCCCACCTTCTCCTTTATATCTTTCGCAGTGGGGCTCTTGTGTTTCTTCACTTCCATCTCCACCGCGGTGGAGGCATTTCCGTTTTCCGTGCCATGCTCTGATCTTTGCGTTTCTTTTTCCTTTTCCGCCATCTTGTCATTGTCGACGTGAGGCACGTAGGATTCTGGCTTCACCGCCAAGTTCGATTTGGATTTCGCTTTGTCGGCAGTAAGGTCTGCCGATGTCGACTCACCACGAATTCTCATAACAACTAGGCGCACTATAAAGATGACGATGAGGGGTAACGGAGTCAGGATGGTGCAGATGATGGGGACAACAGCAGCAAGGTCTGCCTCTGGCTGCGGGAACGTGGATCTCAACAGAACCAGGGCGATGCCAGCATTCTGGAATCCCGTCTCGATAGCAATGGTCTTCACAATGGGCCAAGGACGACGAGTGATGATGGCAACAAGGCCCCCCATAGTGAAACCCAACCACGGCAAAGAGGACGCTACAGCAACTATCAGAGGAGTTACGAGAGAGAAGATGTACCAGCTTGAATAGACGCCTGTAACAATGAGGATAACAACTAGTATAGCACAACATGGCTTCAAAATCCGCATCATAAACGCGGCCCATGTAGGCCGGTAAATCTTTATGACGAGACCAATTCCAACGGGACCGATCATGTAGGAGAGACCCAAGATGATGTTAACGAAGGGAATGCGTAAGTTGGTGCCCTCGGTGAAGTATTTGCCTAACAGCGTTAGCCACATTGGCATGGTTCCTGAAAAAGCAACATTATAAGACTGGTAAATTAGTCGGTTCATCGGTTTAGGATCTCGAAGCATTGTCAGAGCTTTCATTTACATAGAAATACCGCAGTAATTAGCATTCATACATTTCGTTATCATGAAATCTCTGCTCATGGGTGCCTGTGATACGCACAGTAAGCTGTAAAATCTTGTACGCTGAAGTTTAAGTTAACTGAAAGTCAACGAAAGTCTGCAAGTAATAGTTATTGGACTGCGTGAAAGATAGAAATCAGGAAACTCTGCTTAAGATAAATATTAAAGATAATTGTGAAATATTAAACTGCGTGCACACGGAATAATTGATTGGAAACCCTACACAAGAAATCGTTGAAACCTAGAAAATGTCGTCGCTAATGGTGAGAGGTTTCCGTAAGCCTTTCGAGAAGGGTATTACAGCTTCGACAGTGGTGAATGATGCGTGGTTAGCGGATTCTATGGAATTCGAGAACAGAGACCGACAGACAGACAGACAGGCAGAGAGGCAGACACACAAACAGAGACAGAGAGTAAGAGAGAGAAAGAGAGGAAAAGAGAGAGCTAGAGATTTAGAAAGTGAGACAGACTGACAGGCAGATGAAGAGCGGGTATATATATGATAATATAGGTATATGTATATCAAGAGTGATAAAGAGTGCATAATATGTAATATGTATACATATAAGAGTGTCATATTATGTATATAATATACATATATATATAATATATATATATATAATATATATAAAGATAGAGAGAGAAACAGAGGGAGTGAATAGAGAGAGAGAGAGAGAGAGAGGAGAGAGAGAGAGGGAGAGAAGAGGATAAGAGAGAGAGAGAGAGAGAGAGAGAGAGAGAGAGAGAGAGAGAGACAGAGAAAGAGAGAGAGAGAGAGAGAGAGAGGAGAGAGAGAGAGGAGACGAGAGAGAGAGAGAGAGAGAAAGAGAGAGAGAGAGAGAGAGAGGAGAGAGAGAAGGAGCGAGAGAGAAGAGAGAGGCAGCTTAAGAGGCTACAACAATTAATTATACCCACCAAGTGTAAGTAAGTGTTAATGAGCGTCATAGTAATGCTGAGGGTAAGTCTCCATCCAGAAGGAAGGTCGCAGATATTCTCGCTCCTCACCGAGCCTGTCCCATCGTTAGCAGACCAGCTTTTCAATGAATTCCCCTTGAGCACTGCACTCTAGTCCGATGCATCTAAAACCTGTGAAATATAAGTCACGTCTGCTTAGTATATCATGTATAGAAAGGATATCGTTCATGCACGGTGACAAACACCACACACACACACACCAAAACAGCATCACCACACACACACACGCAGCAACGCACGCACACACAGACCACACACACACACGACACCACACATCAATCACAATTCACACCCACACACACACACACACACAACAACCAGATCAAGCAGAGGAGACATTGACACATATAACGACACACACAGCACACACACACACCATACACACACACACGCACAATACATACACACAGACACACACACACCAACACACAACACACACACGCCACATCACACACACACCACACACACAAACACACACAAACACACACACACACACACACGCACACGCACACACACACACCACACACCACACACAACACACTGCGCGCGCGCACACAACGCCTCGCCAACATGACATACACAACACACACACACACACACACACAACACACACACACACACAAATGCACACATATTACACCACACACAACACAACACACACACATACCACACACACACAACGCCACACCACACACACAAAAACACACACACACACACATACACAAACACACACACACACACACACACACACACACACACCACAAACACACGCGCGCTGCCTGCACACGCCACGCGCACACACATACACACACACACACACACACACACACACAACACACACACACAAACACACACATATATAGTATAGATATAACTATATATATATATATATGATATTGTATATATATATATGCGCGCGTATGTGTGTGTGCGTACACACGCACGCGTGTATTAATTACGTTACATATAAGAGTTAAGAGTTATAATATTATTGTACTAAATTGACGTTACACTGTAAATAACAAACAGTAAATATAGCAAATAACACATCGCGCATTATTACGTCATCAATGTCCATGGAAAACTGTAAATGTCCACATCTACCTACGTATTTCTCAGTAATGCATATTGTGTTGTCCGCACTAATTTGTTGATACTATTGGTGGCCAAGTAAAGATCTTTTCTTATGATGTATGCTCTATTAGCGCCACGGCTGTTCCAGAACATGAATTATTTAGTTTTTATTAAAATTAAATTTTTTAAATGAAATGCAATTCTTACAAAGTCTTACAAAATTTTACCACCAACGTAATAATCACATATACTAGGTTCCATGAACTGATAACTGTATCCACGGGTAGAAATGAAATATATTAGAGGTAATTATATTTCATCCGTAGTTCAGGGCATCATATAGTAGGACGCGTTTTACCAACCTGACCAGTACTTGTGGTGTGACTGTGTGAGATATGGTAGCATTGTGGGTGTCGTTGGCACAGTAGTGGTTAGCCATAGCTTCTAGGCATCAGTTATCAGGCTCGTATGTTTTGTATATCAGAAATCGCGTAACGTTATCGTGATGGCATTACGTCGTAATACTATTCCTAAAAGATATCACAGACTCTCTTTCATTGTGCTAATAAGTTTTCGTAATGGGTGTTGTTCCTATATTACGGGGGATTTTATTAAAGTAGATAGGCTCAACTTTTGTAAGTATTGGTAATACAGTATTGTTTTTAGTCTGTTTACGCTGTTTGTGAATATTCCAGGAATACCGTAGCGACACTGGCGTATATCTATAAAGTCGGGTTTTACACCAGTGGATCCTACGAACTGGAACCAAACCCGAATTTTTCGCAGTGGCGTTGTGCGCCCAGTTTGTAATACCGACCCGAGGTTACCAGCCAGATACACTAGCTGCGCCTAACGACGGCTGATTTATAGCAAAAGTAGTTACAAGAACTGGTATGGCACAAAACAACATGCGAAAACAGTCAAACCCACAGTCGTCGAGCACGTATATGCTGAGTCAGCTAGGGGTCAATGCCAGCAATACTATAGAACACAATACAAGTGTGTCAGGAGAGTCTTACACATCGGCATCAGGTTCTACAATATATATTTATCGGTCTACATAGACGCTGCAGACGACTCACGCTGTAGTCTCTTCACCCACCCACCCACCCACCCACCCCCCCACACACACACACACACACACACACACACACAC